TCCTAACTGCGCATACAAAGACAAAGATCCCACGTAGAGCCTTAACAGTTGCGATATTTACAGACCAGACCAGGAACTCATTTGAGGCTGAGTCGACCTAGTGGAGGCCCAGGACCGGTTAAGATAATCGTCACTGGTGACGCTACACGACCGCTCCCACCACACCCACGTGTGTGTGTGTGTGTAGAAATACACACACACACTCACGTGGGTGTGTGTGTGTATGTGGGGTGTACTCACACACACACACACTGTAACTTTCACACGTGGGTGTGTGTATATATGTGGGGTGTACCCACACACACACACATACACACACACTGGGGTGTGTGTGTATGTGTGTGTACATACACACACATACATACACACACACTGGGGTGTGTGTATGTATGTGTGTGTAGAAATACACACACACATACACACACTGGGGTGTGTGTATGTGTGTGTGTATGTGTGTGTGTGGTGTACCCACGTGTCACCCCACCACAGCTGCCCGGCCGGTTAAGAAACGGAACTCTGGCGGCAGTCGGAATTTAAAGCGACATCGCCCCCCGACCCTCCCACCAACCCCCACTGTAACTTTCTGACCCCGTGGCCTCTATTGGACATCAGTTAACAAAAAACAACAACAACAACAACAACCCAAGAGCTTCCCAGCTCATCGGATTTCTCCTCCTGCCGTATAAATGCAACGCTCTCAATCCGATCTTGATTTGAAGCTTTCGTGACTGCAGGAATCCATACTCTTTGGTTCTTTCGGTATAAAATAAAAAAATTTTTTTACGACGTTTCGGGCGCGACACGAGCGTCCATCGTCAGGCTCTCAATCCGTTTCTAATTTGGGGGGCACCACCGCAATTCTGGAGGCGTCCGCCGGGCGGCGCTGCGACCACGCAGACCTTGACGGAGCCACTTCTTGAACCTTTGTCAATGGCAGCCACACGGTGAACACCCCCCCACTACCAGTGTCGGATGATCCTAGTAGCACAAGTAGTTTCATATGTACTATTGCTATGTAGTAGATGTAGTAGCTACTGCTATGTAGTAGATGTAGTAGCTATTATATATGTAGTAGATGTAGTAGCTACTACAATGGAGTAGATGTAGTAGATGTAGTAGCTACTACTATGTAGTAGATGTAGTAGCTACTACTATGTAGTAGATGTAGTAGCTACTACTATGTAGTAGACGTAGTAGCTACTACTATGTAGTAGATGTAGTAGCTACTACTATGTAGTAGATGTAGTAGCTACTACTGTGTAGTAGATGTAGTAGCTACTACTGTGTAGTAGATGTAGTAGCTACTACTATGTAGTAGATGTAATAGCTACTACTATGTAGTATATGTAGTAGCTACTACTATGTAGTAGATGTAATAGCTACTACTATGTAGTAGATGTAAAAGCTACTACTATGTAGTAGATGTAATAGCTACTACTATGTAGTAGATGTAGTAGCTACTACTATGCAGTAGATGTAGTAGCTACTACTATGTAGTAGATGTAGTAGATGTAGTAGCTACTACTATGTAGTAGATGTAGTAGCTACTCTATGTAGTAGATGTAGTAGCTACTACTATGTAGTAGATGTAGTAGCTACTACTTAGTAGCTACTACTATGTAGTAGATGTAGTAGCTACTACTATGTAGTAGCTACTACTATGTAGTAGATGTAGTGCGTACTACTATGTAGTAGATGTAGTAGCTACTACTTATGTAGTAGATGTAGTAGCTACTACTATGTAGTAGATGTAGTAGCTACTACTATGTAGTAGATGTAGAAGTTTTCGTGGCCTGCACCGGAAACATTCCGACCGTTCCTAGAATTGGATTCCCGCGAGAGACGACGTGATCTTCATAACGACAATAACAACAACAATTGTTGTTCACGCTGCACAGACTCTGTGTTTAGCTGTCGGGCATTGCCAGCGTTTGCAAGAGTACTCGCTGCACACACAAAGGCAATGATGCCTCGTGTAGCCTCAACAGACTGTTGGGGCAAATGCAGTCAGCGAGTAGCACCCTACGAGGGCCGGGATGGCACACTCGGGGGTGGGGTAGCCAACACAGATGCCCCGGCCGCTTTTGTCTCCCTCGTGGCGATGTTTTACTTCACACCGTAACAGGTACTCATTTAGGCTGAGTCGATCTAGGGGAGGCCCTAGGATCCCCCACCACACCCACCACCACCACCACACAACCTTTACTCACCTTGTTCCCCAAGCCACTCTCCTATCCACTCACTCAACCACTCACCTACCAACCCACCCACTCACCCACCCAACCACTCACCCACCCACCTACCCACCCATCCACCCAACCACTCACCCACACAACCACTGACCCACCCACCTAACCACTCACCCACCCACCCACTCACTCACCCCACCCACCCAACCACTCACCCACCCCACCCACCCACCTAACCACTCACCCACCCCACCCACTCACCCACCCACCTACCCACCCATCCACCCAACCACTCACCCACACAACCACTCACCCACCCACCTAACTAACCACTCATCCACCCACCCACTCACCCACCCACTCATCCACCCACCCACCCACTCACCCACCCCACCCACTCACCCACCCACCCACCCACTCACCCACCCCACCCACCCACCTAACCACTCACCCACCCACCCACTCACCCACCCCACCCACCTAACCACTCACCCACCCACCCATTCGCCCACCCACCCACTCACCCACACACCCCACACACCCACTCACCTACCCACCCACTCACCCACCCCACCCACCCAACCACTCACCTACTCACTCACCCACCCACCCAACCACTCACCTACCCACCCACCCAACCACTCACCCACCCAACCACCCCACCCACCCCTCTGCTGTGCCTTGGATTTGATGGAAATCGTCTCTGTGGCAGGGGTTGTCTCTCAAGCTGAGATGGAAATCACGACGAGATGTGGAGGAATCGATTTGTCTCAATATTCATAAGTGCAGCCATCATCACCACCCACACCACCACCGCCACCACTGGGATCACCAAAGACAAAGTCCCCCCCCCCCCCGGTATAGCCTCGACAGACTGTCGGGGCAAGTGCTGTTTGCGAGTAGCACCTATGAAGGCCGGCACTGTGGCACACGAGGGGGTGGGTGGCCAGCACCACCACGCCCGGCCGCCTTTGTCTCCCCAGTGGCGATGTTTACTACACATCGCGCCAGTAACTCGTTTGAGGCTGAGTCGACCTAGGGGAGGCCCAGGACCGGTTCAAATAATCGTCGCCGGTGTTGGTGGCCATGAGTGGGAAACGAACTCGGGTCGCAATCATCAAAACCATCACCACAATCACCACCACCACAATCACTACCACCACGATCACCACCACCACAATCATCACCACCATCACCACCACAATCACTACCACAATCATTACCACCACCACAATCACCACTACCACAATCATTACCACCACCACCACAATCACTACCACAATCATTACCACCACCACCACAATCACCACCACCACAATCACTACCATCACGATCACCACCACCACCACAATCACTACCACCACGATCACCACCACCACAATCACTACCACCACGATCACCACCACCACAATCACTACCACCACGATCACCACAATCACTACCACCACAATCACCACAATCATTACCACCACCACCATCACCAGCACCACCACCACTACAATCACCACCACCACAATCACTACCACCACAATCACTACCACCACGATCACCACCACCACCACAATCACTACCACCACAATCACCACAATCATTACCACCACCACCACAATCACCACCACCATAATCACTACCACCACGATCACCACCACCACAATCACTACCACTACAATCACCACAATCATTACCACCACCACCATCACCAGCACCACAATCACCACCACCACAATCACTACCACCACGATCACCAGCACCACCATCACTACCACAATCACCACCACTACCACAATCACCACCACCACAATCACCACCACTACAATCACCACCACCACAATGACCGGCACCAACACCGCAATCACCACCACCACAATCTCCGGCACCACCACCATCACCACCACAATCACCACAATCACCACCACCACAATCACCAGTACCACAATCACCACCACAATCACCACCACCACAATCACCACAATCACCACCACCAAAATCACCAGTACCACTACCACCACCAACCACCACGACGACTGCCGGTTCGATCCCACTCCCTCTGCGCGGCAGTTAAAGCAATGGGGCAAAGTTGATGAAATCCCAGCCACCTCTGTCCATCCCTGGGGTATAAATGACTCGCACACCGCAGTTTATGCTGGGATCGGCAGGGCCGTCTGTGGTGGGGAAAAGTGTGGGTACGACCCTCTTCGTCCAAGCGCATGTGGTCCGACATGGAAGAGTAGGCCAAGTACCCTCTCTAGAGCTCCCTCGAAGTGGGAGGCACTTTCCGACGGCAGTGCCACGAACAACTGCTGGGTTGCTCCATCATCATCATTAAGAATGTTAACTACCTCGCTAGGTATACAGGAGGTCGTGAGTTCGATACCGACCCTGACGCCTGCTTTATATTTGTAGTTTGCGTGTCTCTCTCTCTCATCATCATCACGGTGGCTAGGAGATATTAACTACCTCGCCTGGTATACAGGATGTCGTGGGTTCTATCCCGACCCTGACGATGCCTGCTGTGCATTTGTAGTTTGCGTCTCTCTCTCGCCGTGGTCGCGTGGATTTTTCTCCGGAGTCCTCCGGTTTATTCCCCTGCCACGTTGCGAATCGACATCACCCCGCTTTAGAGTCATTTGGCTGCTAAACATTCTCCACGTGATGATAATCCACGTGGTCGACGCTATGGTTTCATGCTTGCTGGGCCCGCTTCCTAAGAAATAAAAAAGTAAGAGCCGCATGGAAACTTGAGCGGGCCTTACCCCGGTAAAAAATATATATAAAAAAAAGATAGTTAGTTAGTTGATGTTTTTCGTTTACCTTCGTGACCAGCAGCGTCTTCCTGCGCTGCTTCCGAGGGTTCGGACGTGAGATCCGTTTGGGACGTGGAGCTCACGTCGCTACTCTGCCCGTTGCTCTCCTGATCGCACTCTGTCCGCGGAAGTGACAACAGCAACAAACAACAACAACAACAAACAACATCAATGAAAAATATAAACAACGGTATCAACAACATCAACAAGTAACATCAACAAATAACATCAACAACATCAGCAACAACATAAACAACATCAACAACATCAGCAACATGAACAGCTACAACATCAACAACATCAACAAACAACTTCAACAAACAACAACAACAAACAACATCATCAATAAAAAAATATAAACAGTATCAACAACATCAACAAGTAACATCAACAAATAACATCAACAACATCAGCAACAACATAAACAACATCAACAATAACATCAGCAACATGAACAGCTACAACATCAACAACATCAACAAACAACATCAACAACAACAAAATCAACAACATCAACAAACAACATCAAAATCAACAACATCAACAACATCACCACCATCATCAGCAGCTCAGAAGTCAAGTTCTACATTAGCAATGTGAATTGCAAAATAAATAAACATTATCAACAACAATATCAACAAACGTCAACAACATTAACAACAACATCAACATCATCTCAAACGTAAAAATCTACATTAGCATTGCGAATAGAAACATCAACAAAGGCTAATTATTATTCCTAAGCCGAACCAGTTCGCCCACGATACCCTAGTTCTAGCTCTACCCCTAACCAACCAGACACCAGTACTAGCTCTATCACTAACCAACCAGACACCAGTACTAGCTCTATCACTAACCAACCAGACACCAGTACTAGCTCTATCACTAACCAACCAGACACCAGTACTAGCTCTATCACTAACCAACCAGACACCAGTACTAGCTCTATCACTAACCAACCAGACACCAGTACTAGCTCTATCACTAACCAACCAGACACCAGTACTAGCTCTATCACTAACCAACCAGACACCAGTACTAGCTCTATCACTAACCAACCAGACACCAGTACTAGCTCTATCACTAACCAACCAGACACCAGTACTAGCTCTATCACTAACCAACCAGACACCAGTACTAGCTCTATCACTAACCAACTAAACAACCAACTAGCCACACGGGATTCGGCGTTCTGGGTTATCATCAGCAGAGTCAGGCTGGTCAAGCAAATGCCGCTGCATTACCAGCAGATGTCACTGGCAAGAGGACTCCTAAATAACGCCGGTCAACTAGCCCCCCACGTTACCCTACCCCTCCCCGTGGGGACCTCGTGGAGACCCCCGCGGTGATCCCCTGGTGAACCCGTGAGTACCCCGTGAGTACCCCGTGGTGACCCACGTGAGGACCCCTGTGGTGATCACGTGAGGACCCCTGTGGTGACCACGTGAGTACCGCGTGGTGATCCCCGTGGAGACCCCGTGGTGATCTCCTAGGTGACCCCGTGGTGACCCCGTGAGTAACCCCGTGGTGACCCCGTGAGTAACCCCGTGGTGACCCCCCGTGGAGACCCCGTGGTGACCCCTAGGTGACCCTGTGGTGACCCCGTGAGTAACCCCGTGGTGACCCCGTGAGTAACCCCGTGGAGGCCCCCGTGGAGACCCCCGTGGTGACCCCTAGGTGACCCTGTGGTGACCCCATGAGTAACCCCGTGGAGACCCCCGTGGAGACCCCGTGGTGACCCCTAGGTGGCCCCGTGTGGTCCACGCGTCTCGGATGGCCTCGCTGCTGATGACCACCGCCCGAGGCGGGGAAGGGGCGTCACGGCTCTGTGATCCCTGCGTCAACCCGGCGGCTCAAGACAAAGATCCCCCGTATAGCCTCGGCACACGTTTGGGGCAAGTGCTGTTAGCGATTGGCACCTATAAAGACCGGCACGGCATGCGAGGGGGGGTTGGGTGGCCGACACCACGCCCGGCCGCCTTTGTCTCCCCCAGTGGCGATATTTACACTCCGCACCGGGTGCTCATTTGAGGCTGAGTCGACCTAGGGGGAGGCCCAGGACCGGTTCAGATAATCGTCACCGGTGTTGGTGATGGCCGTAAGCGGGATTCGAACTCAGGCGGTATCCGGGTTTGTGGCGTAGCGCGCCAACTGCTGCACCACCGCTCCCCATCGTCTGCTGCTAAACACATTTATTCTGTATATAACGCGTATGCATAGAGCCTTAAATGAGTACCTGGCCCTGCGTGTAAACTTCGCCACTCGGGAGACAAAGGCGGCCGGGCGTGGTGCTGGCCGCCCAACCTCCTCGTGTGCCGGTCCGGCATTCATAGGTGCCAATCGCTAGCAGCACTTGCCCCAACAGACGGTTAGTGGTTGTATGGGGGATCTTTGTCTTTTGTATTAATGATGATGATTGCACTCTGGATTGTATGTATATTTCTACGTTGAACTTCTTTCGCACCGTACGTAGCCAACCGTTCTAATCGGAGGTGCGGGGAGAAGAACACATTACCCATACACTAAAAAAGCAGTTCTAAAGAAATAAGTTTTCAATCTAGATGATTATTTAAAAGTGCATAGCCCCAGTGGCCTCCTAATATCGATAGGAAGAGACCCATTCGAGACCCACAGAGATTCAAAGACTCGTAGAGATCCATAGAGACCCATACTCATACGTATGTTGAACTTCTTTCGCACCGTACGTAGCCAACCGTGCTAATCAGAGGTGCGCGCGGGGGGAGGGGGTGATTGGTTTGGATGATTAAAAGAATCGAACGTTGCTCATAGCGCGCTGCGCCCACCGCTGTCCCACCGCTCCCCGTTGCGCCTGTAAACGATAAATGATTAACAAGCTGGCACGCCAGTCCACTGGGTGAGCCTAGACCACTCGAATGAGCATAGCGCGTTGTGTGTTAAAAAATGTTGGGTAGAACTAGGACCCATGTCTAACAGAGGGACCTTGCCTACAAACATCTGGCCAGTTCACCTGCACTGCCCCAAGCAAAGCCTGACTGTGCTGCTGATGAGACACTAAATGTCAAAATCGATCCTCGCCTACAAAGAGACACAAATCCCTCTCCATCCCGATGGGGTCATGACCTCTCTGGCAGGCTATGGGTGGGGGTGATGGCGATATGGGGGGGGGGGGGGGGGGGGGTGGGGGGAGGGGGGTCAGCGAGATGGGAAGAGGATGGGAGCGGCCCAGGAAAGGGTGAAGCATGTCCCCTGGGATGGACCAATCACGACCGCCCTCGGGGCAGACGACGTCGACGCCTTTGCCGGTGACGTCACAACGACCTCGCTACGCGCACGCGGCCGCTCGCGACACCTCGCGGCTGATGTGGCCGAGGAGCTTGAACCACCGTCACGTGAACTCATCCGCTCATCCTGGCGGCAGCAGCAGCAGCAGCGGCGGCGGCGGCGGCTTTTGGCCGCTCGGCCGCTCGAACAAAGGCGGCTGTCACCGCGTCGTCGCGCGCCGATTCCGCGGCCGTCTGGAACGCTCTTCCCTGGCGACGTTAGGAGGAGATCGCTGGGGGCTGTGATGCGCTTTTAAATCATCGTCGTCGTCTCGAGTGACGAGCTCACTCCTCTAGGACCGCTTCTTCGTGTGCCTCGTCTGCTGCCCTGCCGCCAACCCCGCACCTCCAATTAGCTCGGTTGGCTACGTACGGTGCCAAAGAAGTTCAACATGCATGATGCTGACGATGGCGGTGTTGGCCCACAGCCATCGGACAAAGGCGGCGGTCACCGCATCGTCGTGGTGACCGCCACCATGCGTCTGCGGCCGTCTGGAACGTTCTTCCCTCGCGACCTTAGGAAGAAGTCACTGGGGAGGTGTGATGCGCTTTTAAATCGTCGTCCAGATTGGCAGACTCATTTCTTTAGAGCTGATTTTCGTGTTTAGTTTGGTGTCCTCCCCCCCCCCAGCACGCCCGACTTTGACGGCTGGCTACGTACCGTACCGAAAGAATTTCAACACACACACACACACGCGTACATCCGAGCCGCTACTGTATTCACTGGAATATAAGAACCCCCCCCCCACTCCCTCCTTCCGCCCCCCCCCCCCATTCCCTTCTGTATTCTAAATAAAACGTGGAGGGGTGCGTCTTATAATCCGGTAGTTAACCCAACATTCTCTACAATTTCAATCGCGGTACAATTGAGCTTTAATTGGTGGTGGTCGTCATTCGGAACTTGTGTCACCATTGCAGGGATCGGGCCTGCCACGCTACAGGTAACTCCGAGTGTAAACTGTTCACGTGTAATTGCCGATTTAAAAAAAAATAGATTTTTTTTTTAAATAGAATTTTTTTTTTTAAAAAGAACATCCGTTTAATCGGTAAAGCGTGTTGAGACATGTAACTGCCATCGGTGCCATGCAGCGTTTTGCCTAACTCTTACCATGTCCTCTGCTGTCTCTCTCTTCTCGCGCCTACCTTCGTACGTCTTACTCAAACCTCGCTTCGGTGTTGCGTCAGTGCGACGCGCAAAATGTGCAACGTCGTTTTCGTCTTTAAGAGGTTTGACAGCGCTTCCCTTTTTTTTTGGCTCAACCGCAACGCATTTCGAAACACTGACACCGCACGTGCATTTGGGCGATGTGTTTACGTTTCTTGTACTTTTCACCGCTATCGTATTTTTGTTGTTGTTGTTCACCGTTTGTTGTTGTTGTTGTGAAGTTCTTACTGAAAAAAAACATTGTTGAAAAAATAACTTCATAGCTCAATCGGATTCCTCATGCAGTCATAGCTCAATCGGATTCCTCATGCAATCCGATTCTGGTCTCATTGCGTTCCGACTTACGAACCCGTGCGACTTACGAACGGGACTCGGGAACGAATTGTGTTCGTAAGTCGATGACAACCCGTATGCATTTATCTTATTTATTAAAGACCGCACACACAGTGCGCCTTGTTAATGAATTGTGTTAATTGTGTTAATTAGTTTAACACGTGGGCTTTATTATGAACTGTGTCAATTGTTAATAATTGTGTTAATAGCTGTTAATTATGTATTGCTAACTAATTGATGGTAATTAATTTGTGTTAATTAATTAAGCTATTGTTAATACATTGATGCAAAAAATTGCGTATTCATTGTTAATTAATTGTTGTTAAACAATTAACCAATCGCTAATTAATTGTCGTCAATGAATTGTTAATTAATTATGCTTGTGTAGGGGTGCTATGGGGAATAAACACATGGCACGGGAAGGTGTGGTTCACCCACACCTTGGTGGCTACAACAACGTCCGCTAAGGCTCCACCTCCTGTGGGTATAAAGTACGGGGAGCCAGGGGCCCGAGGCTGAAGCAACCAGTGAAGAAAGAAGGCCAGCCAGGTGAGATCCTGGGACTCCTGTGACCGCTGCCCTTTTCAGGACCGACACAGCAAGCCAGTGGTGCGGCCCCAGAGCCCCAGAGTCAGAGTCATTCTAAGGGCCGGTCTGGTGGGCGGGGTGCCGAGATCTGTGCCTAACCAGGGCCAGATGATCTGATAGCCTCCCTTAGAGCCCTACCAGGAGGAACTGGGAGCCTAGAGCTTAGGCTAGAGAGCCTGGGGTGGTGTGTTCCTGAGTTATACGGGTAAAGGGGCCGCTACCCCTTCTAGTGTAACCCTTGTTAAGGTTTAAATAAATAGTGCTGCGTCTACTCTGCCGTCTCCGTGTCCTGGAACCCACTACACTTGTGCACCACTGCCAAACGCAACCGGATCATAAAACTATCGTGTTTGCATGTAAGCGTGAATAGCTGAGGGGTTTTTTTTGATGTCGTAGTCTCTCGGATGATGAACACTGAACGCACGGTGCTCGTCAGGATGATGGGCTCACCTTTCGCAAAAACATCTTGGTACCTGCAGTCAGACAGACACACACAGACAGACATGCAGACAGACAGACACAGACACACATACAGACACGCAGACAGACAGACACACACATACACAGGCAGACAGGCACGCAGACAAACACGCTGAGATTTTGCACGAAAATACAAACATTTGTAATAACTCGTAATTTGAAGCTTTCGTGACTGCAGGAATCCATACTCTTTGGCTCTTTCGGTAAAGTCACGTAGGTAGAAAATAAATCACGACGTTTTCGGGCGCAACACAAGCGTCCGTCATCAGGTGGGAAAGGTCTGTAGCCCGTGGCCCAACCACGAGAAGGGGAGTTAAAGAGTCGAGGAGGATAATGATGCGCTGGGGAGAGGAGAGAAGAGGAGGAGGAGGGACGGGGAATAGGAGGAGCAGGAACAGAGGAACGGGAGTGGAGGGTGCAGCAGAGATGAGCAGAGGGAGGAGGAGGAGGAGGATGATGAGGTGGCTGCATCAGGGCCTCAGGATGCTGCTGCTGCTGCTGCACGCAGCGGCGTCTGTTTTCACGGTGGGCGGGGAGAGGGGAGGGGTTTAGAAGTGGCGGGGGTGGGCCACACACCGAGGTCACGTGGTGTACGGGAGGCCGGGGTTGAGTTAGATCGAGAGAGAGGCGGAGATCTGTAGGTGAGAGAGGCGGGATTCGGAGTGGCCACAGGCAAGACACGCCATGTACGGTGGGAGGCTTGAGCTGACTTAGAGAGATGAGAACAACAGAAATCTACAAGCACGTTGCCAATCCACTGCTGGATGAAAGCCTCTGCGCCGTTGGCTCCTTGAGACCCTGATACTATTGCTTAGCTGCTTGGCGTGCATGCGTGCGTCTGTGCCGAGGTTGCACGGGGAGCGGTGGCGCGGCGGTTAGCGCATTGCGCCACGAACACCCGGGGGCCCGAGTTCGGATCCCGCTCGCGGCGGCCACCAACGCCGGCGACGATTATTATCTGAGCCGGTCGTGGGCTTCCCCTAGCTCGACTCAGCCTCAAAGGAGCGCGGCGTGCGTGTGTCAACATCGCCACTGTCGTGTGCCGTGACGGTCCTTCCGTAGGTGCTGCTACTCGCTAACAGCGCTTGCAGCAAACGGCGTCAATCTGCAGCGTGTACACAATTCCCTGACACGTGGTCGTGACGGGTTCATGCAAGATCCGACCCCGTGTCCGTCCATTGCTCGGACGGACACGGGGTCTTCCAATTGCCGAACGGATCCACTGTGCGGTCGCGCTCATGACACACACGGACACACAAGGTGCTTGTCACGAATGGACCACAATACCTTCGCTGATCTCGGCAAAGGAACATAGACCCATCATCGCGAGTTCAGATGCGAAAGAAGTTCAACGTACAGCGTCGCCTTCATCATCATCATCATCGTCATCACGATCATCGTCATCACGACCATCGTCATCACGATCCATGGAAAGGTAGCCCGTAATTACCGGCGAAACGTTATTAGGTATGCGAATTGTAAATGTTTGTAGTGGGTTAACTCTCGAACACCCAACCGGTGGTGCTGGACTTGTAACGAATTGTCACGTTCTGTTAACGTCACAAAGCCTTACGAGTTGGGCTGTGTCACGTGGTGGCGGGTTCAATGGCACGTTTATTATCACGCTATCTAACCACACAAAAACCGCAATTATCCAACATCTATTCTTTGCGTAAACATAATTTTGTTTATTTGATTCAGGATTCTACAAACGCGGTCTAATAATTGGGAGAACATCGGCGTCATCGTCATCATCATCATCACGGTCCATGATGGGCAGATAGCCCCGTAGGCTACTTCTCGTGCTTTGTTTACACTTTTACCCTCTGTCTCGTAGTGCAAATTTTGCTCAACTAGTGGCCACATCGTTCTGACACTGATCCCTTAGAATGTCGTTGCTATCCATTCTCTTTTGATTTAAAGCTTTCGTGACTGCAGGGATTCATATTCTTGGTTCTTTCGGTAAAGTCGCGTAGAAGGGAAACAATAAATTTTCTTGCTGTGAAAACCACAGCAATTTTTTTTTTCTTGCTGTGGTTTTCACACCTGATGATGATTGCTTGTGTTGCAGTCGAAACGTCGTGAGAATGTTATTGTTTTATATATTTATTGTTTTATTGTTTCCCTTCCACGTGACTTCACCGAAAGAACCAAGAATATGAATCCATTCTCTGTTTGGCCTTCCTCTCTTTCTTCTTCCTTAAACATTTTCCTGGAACAACAACACCTACAATGTTCCTTCTGTCGTCCCATCCTACTACAGCCCCCCCCTGCGGACTGTAGGGGCAAGTGCTGTTAGCGAGCAGCACCTATGAAGGGCGTCACGGCACACGAGGGGGTGGGTGGCCAGCACCACGCCCAGCCGCCTTTGTCTCCCCAGTGGCGATGTTTGTACGCAACGCACCAGGCACTCATTTGAGGCTGAGTCGACCTACGGGAGGAGGCCCAGGAGCGGTGATCGTCACTGGGTGTTGGCCGTGAGCGGGAATCGAACTCGGGTCGCCAGGGTCGTAGAACAGCAGAACGCTGACCGCTACACTGCCGCTCATCCACGTGTGTCCAAATGTACAGGGGTGCTTCAACAACAAGTTTTTAACACTTCTGAGAAATTTGCTAAACGACGTCACGAGAAATGCGCCTCATCCGGGCTCTGGAGGACCACGTGGGGAAGATTCCAGGCCACGCGTTGACGACGCTGGCGAACTAGTGGGGAGACTCTTTGACTCTTTGAAGCTACTGACATCACAATCGTTATCACGTCACAGTGTTTATTACTATCCGTTTATTTTTCCATGAAAAACTATAGTCTCATATGAGTGATAACATGTTGTTTTTGAAGCACCCTGTATATATATATACACACATATAAAACATGCAAAGGCTGTAGAGGGGGGGGGTTATCTTTTTCTTCGTACCGGGATTTCAGCTCATTGAGAGTCTTCAGCAGAGCCTCCCTCCGCTCCTTGCATTTCTTCCCCAGAGACTTCTCCGATGCGAGCGCTTCCGACAGAAATTGCTCCACCTCTACCGGAGAGACGGAGAGACGCGTGACACGCCACCATCAACACATACATACACTTACATAAATATATTAAACATCCACCCCCACCTGCAACACCAACACCACGACATTCGCCTCCAAGTGACGGTGAGGCTGCCACGTGAAGTGTCAAAAGGCCTCGCTGACAGGTCACGGGGCAGACCCAGCAGGTGCCATGGGTTGGCTGACTGAGATGACCGGTAGATGCACCACCAGCTGTACCCCTCTACTGTGCCAGGCTAGGTGCAGGAGGAGGTCTCGGGACAGACCCAGCAGGTGCCATGGGTTGGCTGACTGAGATGACCGACAGATGCACCACCAGCTGTACCCCCTATTGTGCCAGGCTAGGTGCAGGAGGAGGTCTCGGACAGACCCCCTACTGTGTGAACTTGCTGTGCTTCAGCCACCCGGCGCTCCGCTCACGCACACTTACACACGCACTTACAAGACAAAGATCCCCCATATAGCCTTAACAGACTGTAGGGGCAAGTGCTGTTAGCGAGCACCTATGAAGGCCGGAACGGTACACGAGGGGGTGGGTGGCCAGCACCACGCCCGACCGCCTTTGTCTCCCTAGTGGCAATGTTTACACACCCGGGACCGGTTAAGATAATCGTCACTGGTGTTGGCCGTGAGCGGGAATCGAACCCTGGTCGCCAGGTTCATAGCGCAGCGCGCTAACCGCTACACTATCGCTCCCCGTAACACGCACTTACAGACACACACTTACACACGCACTTACAGACACACACTTACACACGCACTTACAGACACACACTTACACATACACTTACAGACACACACAAACGCTTACGGACACACACACGCTTATAATGATTGAGTCCATTCATTTACTATTGCAAGGCGACTGAAAGTCACGTGACTCGTTTACTTAATGCAGCGATGACCTTCATCGGCGCAATTGAGACAATTAGCCGAGTTAATTATTAATTCGTCATGATGGAGTCGACTCGATTAACAACGCCCTCATTGCCGCCGTCCCCGCATTGATGCACGGAAATACGCAGCATACGTGGAACGTTGGTCCAACGTTGGCATGGAACGTTCGTCCGACGTTGCCGTGGAACGTTCGTCCAACGTTGGCATGGAACGTTCGTACAACGTTGGCATGGAACGTTGGATAAACGTTGGCATGGAACGTTGGACAAACGTTGGCATGGAACGTTGGACAAACGTTGGCATGGAACGTTGGACAAACGTTGGCGCAACGTTGGCGTGGGACGTTGGTCCAATGTTGCGGCAACGTTAGCATGATACATTGGCATGGGACGTTGGTACAACGTTGCAGCAACGTTGGCATATGACGTTGACATGGGACGTTGACATGGAACGTCGGTCCAACTTTGGCGCAACGTTGGCGTGGAACGTTGGTCCAACTTTGTGCTAACGTTGTAATGGAACGTTGATTTAACGTTGGCGCAACGTTCGCATGTTTACTGGGTATGTGTTAGCCCCTTGGTAGAGAGAGAGAGAGGAGGATATCTGTGATTCGGCTCTGATTTGACTGTTGGGGTCAAGGTTGGGTTCAAAGTTAAAGCGGATATTTGCTCACACGAGCGTCTGAGAGAGTGTGGACAGCGGTGGAGCGCAACGTTGGCTAGGAAATGTTAACTACCTCGCCAGGTGTACAGGAGGTCGTGGGTTCGATCCCGACCCTGACGCCTGCTGCTGCATACTTGGAGTTTGCGTGTCTCTCTCTCTCATCATCATCACGGTGGCTAGGAGATGTTAACTACCTCGCCAGGTGTACAGGAGGTCGCGGGTTCAATCCCGATCCTGACGCCTGCTGTATGTTTGGAGTTTCCGTGTCTCTCTCTCTCATCATCACCACGGTGGCTAGGATATGTTAACTACCTCGCCTGGTGTAGAGGAGGTTGCGGGTTCGATCCCGACCCTGACGCCTGCTGCTGCTGTATATTTGGAGTTTGCGTGTCTCTCTCTCTCCCCGTGGTCGCGTGGCATTTTCCCCCGAGACCTCCGGTTTTCCCCCTCCACGTTTAGAATAAACATCACCACCACGCGTATTTGAGTGTTTGGCTGCATACATTTTGCACATGACGACGATGATATGCCCACTTCGTTGAGCTGTCTATCATTGGTGATCACCAGCTCGGTTCTTGAAAAGAGCTTACATATCAGCTCAGCGGGCCTGGGGAGACAAAGGCGGCCGCGCGTGGTTCTGGAACCTACACCGCACTTGCCCCAAGAGTCCGTTAAAGGCTATACGGGGGACCTTTGTATGATGGAACGCAGTTAGCGCCCTTCGCGATGAACCGGGCAAGTTTGTATTTCCATCCATCGTATGTGTTTTAACCCTTTATCGAACCTGTGCCGGAACTCCCCTAGGTCGACTCAGCCTCAAATTGAGTGCATTACCTTATACGGTGCGTAAATATCTCAGCACTGGGGGGGGGAGGGGGGCGTGGGGGAGAAAAAGGCGGCCCTACGTTGGATCTGGCCACTCCCTTGCAGTTTTAATAGGGGCTCGCCAACAGCACTTGGCCCTGCAGCCTGCCGACGGCTCTCACGGGAGGACCTTTGCCTTTAGCTGCGTGATGATGGGCGTGGTCAAAGTGCAAGCGCGGTGGTGACGTCGCTTTGTGACCCCTGCGGCGGGGAGCGGTGGCGCAGTGGTGAGGGCGCTGCGCTGTGAACTCTGCGACCCCGAGTTCAATTCCCCTTCCGTGACCAGTAACATTGGCCAGATATTTGACGCGGTTCTGGCCGGGCCTTGCATCGGCCTCGACTTTGGCCTTAAGCGCGTAGCCTCGCGCGTGCGTGATAGTCGGTCATCGCCACGAGGAAAGACAAAGGCGGCCGGGCCTGGTTTTGCTGCTGGCCACCCATGCCATCGTGTGCCGTGGCGTGAGCGGTCTTCAAAGGTGCTGTTCCCTAACAGCACTTGCCCCAACAGTCTAACACGTGGCAGACTTTCGCGACCAATATCATCCGTAATATATATATATTTTTTTAGAGAGAGAGAGGTTCTATCACGTAAATACAGAAGATGTGTGGAATTTCTCCACGGATCTGGCTGCGGCCTGATGATGCCGGTTGTGATTTACAGGCGAAACGTCGTACTTCCGGTTGTTTAACGACGTTGCTTCGCTCTCCGGCACACAACCGGTGGCGCTGTACTAGTGACGAATTGTCCACGTTCTGTTTACGTGACAAGCCCTTACTTGTGTCGGGTGGTGGCGGGTTTAACGACACATTTATATTTACATGATCTAACCCCCCCCCCCCAAAAAAAAAAAACACCTATATTACTTGCCCCAACAGTTTGTGAAGGTTATACGGGGACACGTTATCTTTGGATATCTGTACCTGCAATCACTTATTCTGGAAATTAACAATCGCTGTGTTATTTTCTTTCTCTATTTCATTTTTCCATGACCGGAAACCGCATTAGGACGTTTAAGAAATATCTAATCATTTACAGTTGTTCCGTACACACACACAGATAAACATATACACATATAACACGCGCGCGCACACAGTTCCAATGACAATAATAATAATGATCACAACATTATTACGGTCCGCACATTTGCGAGCCGAAGAATCCAAATCGGCGCGCGCTGCCACTTTGAGTCGAATGGAAGAAGTTGGCTCACTCGACCTGTGACCCCCCCATAGGCCACTACGGGGGTGGGAGGGTCGACATTCCACATTAGCATGACGGGTGCCCAGTATATTAGAGACCACTCATTGTGTCGACTGCAATGGGATGATGATGATGACGAAGAAGGTGATGACGGTGGTGGTGGTGGTGGTGTTGGTGGCAGCGCGTCGTGCATGTAACAACAGCGAGTGCTTTAAAGGCTGAGTCGACCTAGGGGAAGTTCCGGCACGGGTTCAGAAAGTTTTTTTTCCACTGATGTTAGACAACAAAAAGTTTCCGGGTTCAGAGCGAGCGGGCGCTAACTACTTTCCTTAATACAAAGGTCTCCCGTATAGCCTTTAACAGACTCGTGGGGCAAGTGCTGTGCACTAAGTCATTATTTGAGGCTAAGTCGACCTAGGAGATGCCCAGGACCGGTTCGCAGATATTCGTTACTGGTGTTGGCCGTGAGTGGGACTCGAACCCGGGTTCGCCAGGTTCATAGCGCAGGGCGCTAAGGGCTACACTACCGCTCCTCACACACCCACTCTCACACACCCACACACACCCACTCTCACACCCACTCTAACACACCCACACACACCCACACACAACCACACACACTCTCAAACACCCACACACACTCTCACACACACCCACATACACTCTCACACACACTCACACACTCTCACACATACCCACACACCCACACACACTCTCACACACACTCTCACACACCCACACACTCTCACACTTGTACACACACCCACACACACCCACACACACTCTCACACACCCACACACACCCACACACACTCTCTCACACACACACACACTCTCACACACCCACACTCTCACACACACACACTCTCACACACCCACACTCTCACACACTCACACACACCCACACACACTCTCACACACTCTCACACACCCACACACTCTCACACACCCACACACTCTCACATTTGTACACACACCCACATACTCTCTCAGACACACTCTCACACACACAATCACACACACAATCACGACGCTTGTGCCAGGCCATGTGCACCTTGAGGCCACGTGAAGTGTCGAACGCCCGCTGGCAGGAGGTCACACACACACACATTATCACACAATCTCTCACACGCACTCACACTTACAAAGATCCCCCTATAGCTTGAGCAGACTCTTTGACAAGTGCTGTTAGCGAGCACCTATGAAGGCCAGCTCGGCATACGAGGAGTGGGTGGCCAACACCACACCAGGCCGCTTTTGTCTCCCTAGTGGCGATGTTTACACACCGCACCAGGTACTAATTTGAGGCTGAGTCGACACTTACACATGTAACCTACCCACACACACACTCTCACACTCACACAGACAACCACTCTCACACTTACACACACACCCACACACACTCACACACACTCTCACACTTACACACACACTCTCACACACTCACAATTACACTTACACAAACACGCACACACACTCTCACACACCCACATACACTCACACATTCTCACACTCTCACACTTACACACTTAGAAAGACAAAGATCCCCCGTGTAGCCTTAACAGACTGTAGGGGCAAGTGCTGTCAGCGAGCAGCACCTTTGAAGACCGCAACGGTACACGAGGGGGTGGGTGTCCAGAACCACGCCCGGCCGCCTTTGTCTCCCCAGTGGCAATGTTTACACACCGCACTAGGTACTAATTTGAGGCTGAGTCGACCTAGGGGAGGCCCAGGACCGGTTCAGATAATTGTCACTTGTGTTGGCCGTGAGCAGGAATCTAACCACTGGTTGCCGGGTTCGTAGCGCAGCACAGCGCTAACCGCTACACTACCGCTCCCCACGCACACTCACACACACACAGACACACACACACACACACTCCTACTCTCATACACACAATCTCTCCCACTCACTTACACACCTACACCCACGCCTACTCTTCTCACACACACACACACCAATCTCGCACGCCCACCCACCCTCACACGTACAGCACTCACTCGCACTTATTCCATGTTACCTTCCAACAGATTCTTCACGTCGTCAGGAATAGACGACATAGCTCCCGACTTGCCCCCGACAGAGTAGCAGCGGAGAGAGAATGAGGAGAGAGAGAAACAGAGAGAGAGAGAGGGAGCTCCACCGACTTACGCTCTGCCCACTCGAGCGGCTAGAGAAGGGGGGGGGGGGGTACGGGGAGGAGGAAGAGGGAGGGAGATGTTTGACCCCTCTCTCTATTTCTCTACAAAACGGGAAGGAAGTGACGGTAGAATGCTGCGTGGCTCCTTGCTTCTTGGCTGCGCTTGTTGTGAAGCCGAAGTGGGGAGGGTTTTTTTTTTAATCCCGTGTCCTTGCTCTTTGCGCTTCGGTAAGGGACGTTGCTCAAACGTCGCCACGCTCGCTAACAGCAGCAGCAGCAGCGGTAGGGCACGGGTCGTGAATGGGAAGCCCCCCCCCGCCCGCTCCACACCCATCACCCCTTTGCAGAAAGGGGGCCGTTGCCCGAAACGTCACCCTTTACACATTGGAATTTTCTTTTTTTAAAGGGGCCACCGCATCGAGGTTAAGACGAAATAAAAAAAACAGTAAAAGAAAAAGGCTTCCCGGGTATAGACGTGAACGGGCCTGCCGGGGGTGGGCAAGTGTTGTGACACGTGTGGCAGCACCGCCCACGTGAAGGCCGGGGTCACTGTGGCAACTCGACACGTGGGTGGGTGGGTGGGTGGCGGGGTGGCACACAGAACCCCGCACACGGTCACCGACAACCACTGACGATGATCCGAACCGCTCCTGCTTCTCACCACCACCCACCCCCGCCGCCTGTAGGTCGACTCAGCCTCAGACGAGCACCTGGTGCGGTGTGTGGTAAACATCGTCACTGGGGGGGGGAGAGACAAAGGCGGCCGGGTCGTGGTTGCTGTCCACCTAACACCTTAGGTGTCACACATGGGCCACGCTGTACACCGCCACAGCGGCTAGGAGATGTTAACTACCTCGCCTGGCCTACAGGAGGTCGTGGGTTCTATCCCGACCCTGACGCCTGCTGTATATTTGGAGTTTGCGTGTCTCTCTCATCATCATCACGGTGGCTATGAGATGTTAACTACCTCGCCTGGTATACAGGAGGTCGCGGGTTCGATCCCGACCCTGACGCCTGCTGTATATTTGGAGTTTGCGTGTCTCTCTCTCATCATCATCACGGTGGCTAGGAGATGTTAACTACCTCGCCTGGTATGTAGGAGGTCGTGGGTTCGATCCCGATCCTGACGCCTGCTGCTGTATATTTGGAGTTTGCGTGTCTCTCTCTCTCTCATCATCATCACGGTGGCTGGGAGATGTTAACTACCTCGCCTGGTATGCAGGAGGTCGTGGGTTCGATCCCGACCCTGATACCTGCTGCTGTATATTTGGAGTTTGCGTGTCTCTCTCTCTCTCCCTGTGGTCGCGTGGATTTTTCTCCGGGTCCTCCGGTTTTCCCCTCCACATTGAGATGCATACGCTTAAAGAGTATATATGTCAAATCAAGATGTTATATATATCTGCTATAAATATCCACGTGATGATGGTGATGATCATGAGCCGCTTCGCTGAGCTATCATTTGTGATGGTCGAGGGTCGCTTCTAAACAATGAGCTCCACAGCTCAGTGGGACCTTACCTGTTAAAATAAAAATAGTTTAAAGTTTAGTTTTAGTTCAAACCACGTGTTCCTCTTTTCTGTCTCTCAGGGCAGGCGGTCCCCGGTTTTACGACGGACCAAGCCCCATGGCGAAAACTCCGTCGTTAATCGGACCGCATTTCCCCAATAAAACAGTAGAACACATCACTTGTCGATGAGTGTTTTTATTTATTTATTTTCACCTTTTCTCGGACGAATCTTACAGGTGTTAACGCTTCAAAAACAGGAATCCACGAGCGAAAAAAACCAGAGGCAAGTGACGTAAAAAGTTCACGTCAAAGTGACGTCGGGCACCAGACCGACTCTGTTCAAATTCGTTCGGAGTCGTTTCGGAAGATTGCGGCCGTAAATCGAGTTGCCTGGTCGTAAATCGATCCGCACGCGGCAATTATATTCGCAGCGTAAATGCGGGGAACGTCGTAAAATCGGGGATCCGCTACGTCTCTCCGTGAATTTTCTTGTAGCACGCACGTCTTGAGAGTTGTTGTTTGTTAGTTTGTTCCATATTTTATTTTCATTTAATGACCACGTGCGTCTGACCCAGGAAAACTCTGACGTACCGCGGAATCAACTTTTCCTGGACATTAAGCAGCACTCTGCCCATATACGCAACACTGCCCATAGACTCAACACTTCGCATAGACTCAACACTGCCCATAGACTCAACACTGCCCATAGACTCAACACTGCCCATAGACTCAACACTGTGCATAGACTCAACACTGCCCATAGACTCAACACTGCCCATAGACTCAACACTGCCCATAGACTCAACACTGCCCATAGACTCAACACTGCCTATAGACTCAACACAGCCCAGAGACTCAACACTGCCCATAGACTCAACACTGCCCTTAAACTCAACACTGCCCATAGACTCAACACTGCCCATAGACTCAACACTGCCCATAGACTCAACACTGCGCATAGACTCAACACTGCCCATAGACTCAACACTGCGCATAGACTCAACACTGCCCATAGACTCAACACTGCCCATAGACTCAACACTGCGCATAGACTCAACACTGCCCATAGACTCAACACTGCCCATAGATTCAACACTGCCCATAGACTCAACACTGTGCATAGACTCAACACTGCCCAAAGACTCAACACTGCCCATAGACTCAACACTGCCCATAGACTCAACACCGCCCATAGACTCAACACTGTCGATAGACTCAACACTGCCCATAGACTCAACACTGCCCACAGACTCAACACTGCCCACAGACTCAACACTGCCCATAGACTCAACACTGCCCATAGACTCAACACTGCCCACAGACTCAACACAGCCCACAGACGCAACACTGCCCATAGACTCAACACTGCCCACAGACTCAACACTGCCCACAGACTCAACACTGCCCACAGACTCAACACTGCCCATAGTCTCAACACTGCCCACAGACTCAACACTGCCCACAGACTCAACACTGCCCATAGACTCAACACTGCCTATAGACTCAACACTGCCCACAGACTCAACACTGCCCACAGACTCAACACTGCCCATAGACTCAACACTGCCTATAGACTCAACACTACCCATAGACTCAACACTGCCCATAGACACAACACTGCCCATAGACTCAACACTGCCCATAGACTCAACACTACCGACAGACTCAACACTGCCCATAGACTCAACACTGCCCATAGACTCAACACTGTCCATAGACTCAACACAGCCCATAGACTCAACACTGCCCACAGACTCAACATTGCGCATAGACTCAACACTGCTCATAGACTCAACACTGCACCATAGACTCAGCAGTGCACCATAGACTCAACACTGCTCATAGACTCAACACTGCCCATAGACTCAACACTGCCCATAGACTCAACACTGCCCATAGACTCAACACTGCCCACAGACTCAACACTGCCCAGAGACTCAACACTGCCCACAGACTCAACACTGCCCATAGACTCAACACTGCCCATAGACTCAACACTGCCCATAGACTCAACACTGCCCATAGACTCAACACTGCCCAGAGACTCAACACTGCCCATAGACTCAACACTGCCCATAGACTCAACACTGCCCATAGACTCAACACTGCCCATAGACTCAACACTGCGCATAGACTCAACACTGCCCATAGACTCAACACTGCGCATAGACTCAACACTGCCCATAGACTCAACACTGCCCATAGACTCAACATTGCCCATAGACTCAACACTGCGCATAGACTCAACACTGCCCATAGACTCAACACTGCCCACAGACTCAACACTGCCCATAGACTCAACACTGTGCATAGACTCAACACTGCCCACAGACTCAACACTGCCCATAGACTCAACACTGCCCACAGACTCAACACTGCCCATAGACTCAACACTGCCCATAGACTCAACACTGCCTATAGACTCAACACTACCCATAGACTCAACACTGCCCATAGACTCAACACTGCCCATAGACTCAACACAGCTCATAGACAGAACACTGCCCATAGACTCAACACTGCCGATAGACTCAACACTACCCATAGACTCAACACTGCCCATAGACTCAACACTGCCCACAGACTCAACACTGCCCATAGACTTAACACTGTGCATAGACTCAACACTGCCCACAGACTCAACACTGCCCATAGACTCAACACTGCGGATAGACTCAACACTGCCAATAGACTCAACAATGCCCAGAGACTCAACACTGCCCATAGACTCAACACTGCCCATAGACTCAACACTGCCCATAGACTCAACACTGCCCATAGACTCAACACTGCCCAGAGACTCAACACTGCTCATAGACAGAACACTACCCCTAGACTCAACACTGCCCATAGACTCAACACTGCCCAAAGACTCAAAACTGCCCATAGACTCAACACTGTGCATAGACTCAACACTGCCCACAGACTCAACACTGCCCATAGACTCAACACTGCGGATAGACTCAACACTGCCAATAGACTCAACACTGCCCAGAGACTCAACACTGCCCATAGACTCAACACTGCCCATAGACTCAACACTGCCCATAGACTCAACACTGCCCATAGACTCAACACTGCCCATAGACTCAACACTGCCCATAGACTCAACACTGCGCATAGACTCAACACTGCCCATAGACTCAACACTGCGCATAGACTCAACACTGCCCATAGACTCAACACTGCCCATAGACTCAACACTGCGCATAGACTCAACACTGCCCATAGACTCAACACTGCCCATAGATTCAACACTGCCCATAGACTCAACACTGTGCATAGACTCAACACTGCCCAAAGACTCAACACTGCCCATAGACTCAACACTGCCCATAGATTCAACACCGCCCATAGACTCAACACTGTCGATAGACTCAACACTGCCCATAGACTCAACACTGCCCACAGACTCAACACTGCCCACAGACTCAACACTGCCCATAGACTCAACACTGCCCATAGTCTCAACACTGCCCACAGACTCAACACAGCCCACAGACGCAACACTGCCCATAGACTCAACACTGCCCACAGACTCAACACTGCCCACAGACTCAACACTGCCCACAGACTCAACACTGCCCATAGACTCAACACTGCCCATAGTCTCAACACTGCCCACAGACTCAACACTGCCCACAGACTCAACACTGCCCATAGACTCAACACTGCCTATAGACTCAACACTGCCCACAGACTCAACACTGCCCACAGACTCAACACTGCCCATAGACTCAACACTGCCTATAGACTCAACACTACCCATAGACTCAACACTGCCCATAGACAC